GGCTGTGTGTGTGTGTGTGTGTGTCGGCTGGGAAGGGCGGGCGGGCGGGAAAGCGTGCCGAAGTGCATTGACCCCCCTTTTTTGTCACTGGCCCGCGCTCAGCCCTCCTGGACCAACAGTCTGGAAGCAAGTAGCGAAGGTTGCAGTTCGGCCGCCCTGTACGGCTGATACCCGCCTCAAAAATCGACCAGTTATTTTTCTGGGGGCGCAAGAACCCCCCTTTTTTTCAAGTTTTGGGGTTTTGGGCCCATCCGGACGAGCCTCCTGCAGTCCGGCGTCTTAGATACCGAACCGCAGACCGTCCGGATGCTGGGATGGTTTGAATCCTCGGGTGAGGTCCCACTAGGAAAGAGAATTGGATGTTACCGCAGGAATCTGGACGTGCTTGCAACCGTGCAGAAGACAGCAGTTGATCTGTTTTTCAGCATCTTTGCACAAAACACGTCCAGATGCAGGCGGCAGGCGGCAGGCGGCATTTAATAGAATCCTCTTAGCGAGTGGGACCTCGCCCCTGGTGGAATCAGATGTATGCGTAGAAATGATCCCCAAAATAAGGAAAAAGACGTAATAGTTGTGTTGCAGATCTCATTTGCTGTCGATGGACTCGTAGCATGGTGTTTGTGCTTGCAAGTTTGTCGTCCTGTCTCTCCGCGGGTGCTAGCGTACTTGGACCTCTGTGGACTCCATACCTGGACGTAATTGTGATCAGATCCATCCATGCCTCGCGGCAATTGCTGTCAGATACATCCATGGCTGGTCGTGATGGCAGTCCGAGACATCCAGGAAAGTTGTAGAGTGATTATTCTGCTCCGAGAGAACCAATTTAACTTGCCCCGACAATTTTCACAGTCTCCCCCACAATTTTCACAGTCTTTCTCAATTCAGTTTTTTCTTCCTTTCTTTTTTTTTCCCAAGCCACATTTATAAGAACCCCCTGAAATTCCGCTAGAGGGCATACTTCTCAGGCATTACTTGAGTTGAGACATTCGCTGGAGGGCATACTTCTCAGGCATGAACATTGACTTGAGTTGAGAGTACCACCATCTGACCTCTCGAGTCTAGGCGGTGAGGTGAAGGTCCCGTCTGAACCCGTCCTATTAGTAACCATGGTTAGGTGAAGGTTGAGACTCTTGAGAGTGAAAATCGGCGTTATAATTAGCTGGCTATGCGAATGAACTGAGCTTGAAAATTCAGTAAGATGCGAATGAACTGAGCTTGAAAATTCAGTAAGATGCGAATGAACTGAGCTTGAAAATTCAGTAAGGGGGAAAAATAAAGAAGATGCTTCATACAGCTGTGCCGTGTACAGCTGTGAACCCGGGAGAGTCTTCGGTGTGAAACAAAATGCCTAGTATCGAGCAGCTGTGCTGGATTGCGTTGATGATCTACCAATGCATGTTGTTTGGGTCTTGCAATTTGGCCCAGTTTCCATCTTTTTCGACTTTCTCAGCCTTTTGGCTAAAATAGATCAAGCGTAGTATCTGTTCTAAACAGTTTAATATCTATGTGTGGTCCATTAACCATATTATCATACTATTATGCCATAATTTAATGATAGATAACTAGTGTCTATGTGTGGTCCATTAACCATATTATCATACTATTATGCTATAAGTTAATGATAGATAATTACTAGTGAAATATATAAATAAATAAGGGTATTAGCTAGGCTGTTTGTCTGGGCGGCCAGGCACCCAACTTGTCCCTAGATACACGCCTGGGTGTGCCCGGGCAGGGATGAAGCCCAGGCAGGGTTCCTGGCAGCCCCAGCATCCAAAAATAAAATTACAAGTTCCAAGGGGGAGGGGGGAGGGGGGGAGGAATGTTGTGTAGAATTGCAATACAGACGACTTTTGGCTTTGTGTCACATCAGAATTCCTCACGGAATCAAAGATAAAAAAGAAACAACAGAATCAGACCAAGGCACCCCCCTTAAACCCCCTTCAGCCCCATAAAAACCAATTTACTCCCCATCCYCCCCCCCCCCCGCCCTGTTGACAGCAAATACTCGAAAAAAGGGAGCAGCCCGAATTTGGGCTCCTCTGGCACATTGGCTTCTTTAAGAGATTACTGCTGCTTTTTCCAATTCCAACTATACTTGTAGCAAATGTTTCTACTTTGATCTTGTTAAATATCCTACTTTTTTGAAGTTTTTTCAAGTTTTTCGGCATAAGGGCTTTGTTTCCTTTGCCTGCACGGGGTTGCCCCGTGAAGGCCAGCCCTCGCCCGGGTTGCATGGCCGTCCTGCTCAGCCAGGCGAGCCAATTAGCCTACCTTCTTCACCCCAATAGAATGCCCGGTCATTATCGCTGCATCTGGAGTCCGGACCGAAAGTTGTGCCAAATACAGCTAATTAGGACCGGGCGTTCTATTCGGGTGAAGACAGTAGGGTATCAGGCCTCAGTATTTTGTGCAGAATTACTTTCTTGGGTAAGTAATTTACAGTGTCTCCTTTGCCACTAAATCCCTGAGCTCACGAGCTGCGTGGTTCTTTGTCTCTGAATGGTCGGTCGCGGCATTTTTCTGGGCAGAATTGGTGTATGGCTGCCGCATATAGACCAATTCGGGAGATGCTGGATGCAGAGTCCAAGGCAAGGGAAGACGAGAAGGCAAAGCCGTCCGCTGCCGAAGGCCCCAAGGGCGAGACGAAGGACAGCAACGCATCGCCTGCTGAGATGTCAGCAAAGCTGGAAACAGACAGAGGGGCAAGAGAGTCTCCGGCGGAGAAAACAGTGGCGGCAGCAGAGGAAGGAGGCGGAGCTCCTACAGCAGCAGCTGCAGCCGCTGCCGCCGAGAGCAGCATTTCAAGCAAAGGTGGAGATCACCTATCTCCTGACATTGTCAAACATATCAGCTCTAAAGAAACAGTCGATGCGACGCCGACTGCGATGGAAGGAGCAGCGGACGCTGGCAGAGTGAAAGCAGATGCAAATGGGAGTCAAGTTACGGAGAAAAAAACACAAGCAAAAGATACAACCCAGAGTAGCAGCGGCATCAAGAAGTCGGAGATCTCCGTAGTCCAGTCGACACCGTCTTCTTCGTCGGCACACACAGCCAGGGCCCAGTACCCAAGGGCTCTAAGCATGGACGACATGAGGAATGCGAAAAAAGAGGTCAGTTTTTGTTTTTTTCTTACAAGTTACAACGTTCGATTTTAATATTTTATCCCTGAACCAGTCTAACCAGAATTTGATTTTGTACATTCTTGCACAGCAAAACAGAGAAGGAAAAATTATAAAGCCAGGAAACGGGCCCGGAGTCCCTTTCAAAAAGTCACCGCAGCCCTGAGCTGAGCGAGGCTCTCCTTCCTTGCCCTTCCTTTAAATTTGAATAGCAAATTTGACCCTGTCATTAATCAAAGAAAAATAATAAACAGCACAATATAATAATAATATAATAACAATATAATAATGGTACTATGGTACTAACTACTAACCCTGTCCTGCCCAGTTTTACAAGGAACTTGGCTCTTTCAGGCTTAGCGAGTAATTAAAAAAGAAAACAAGGGAAAAAAAAAGGGGTTAACTTCAGTAGAGTAACAAAAAGGACGTATAATTGCACTATGGGGCAAGATACAGTTTGCAATTGCATGTTGGGCACCCTACCTGGCCAGAAAGATGGGTTGTATACATTGCTCAAATTGCAATTCTGGCCCATAGTGCAATTATAACTCATTTTTGTGACTCCCACGTCTGTCTCTTATACACATCTAGATGTGTATAAGA